ATACGTAGGCATCCGGCTGGAATAATTTGGCGATCCTTGAGACTTGAATTCGCTAACAAGTGATAAAAGTTTAAGAGGAGCTAAATGAAATTGTGGAGAAGAGACACTGTAGCGGAGGAGATAAAGTGTGATGAAAGGTGGTATACGGAAGGGAAAAAGCGATCAGCCCGATTGAGAGAGGGTCAAACTGATAGAACGTACCGAGAGGACACCCAGTTTGAATCATGAATCCCTTGATCACACGATGAAAGATATGACCGTTGTAGTATCCGGCACGGGAATGTCCCACGAAATTTTCCACCGTTCTGGGACACTCGCGAGGACATAAACGAATGTGAATATCCCCCAAGGTGGTGTGCAAAATGGCACTACCAGCCAAACGGGATGCTGCAGTAGCGGAATCGCGTGTGGCAGCCAGTACCTCTTCTTTGGTCGGTTTCTCATTGAACACGTCACGTTCTGTGGCCGAGCCGGTTGTGACCGTATCACCACTGAAACGGAATCAGGCATATGATGACGACGACAATAATGATTGGGTCGGTTGTGTCAAATGCAAGTGGATTCATCAAAAAAGGCCACAGATTTCTGGTTTAAGTAATCGATGTAAATAAGAGATACCGAAAGGATTTTCGGTGATAATTTTTTGAGTGAATTCACGATGTTTCGTGATAGTTACTCCATTTGAAGTGAACGAGCAGGATTGGACAGAATTGGCATAAGTGGTACATCTATCAAAAGATTTCTTACAACGGAAAACCTGCTGATTAGAACAAATGTGGGGGAAGACGAAATACTTTCCTCCTCGATTACCTTCGACACCCGCAATCAGAGAGTGTAGTTGTTTTTCCAGACCAATTTCAACAGCTGGCTTGTCACTGACACTTGTTGAGAAAGAAAGACGGAGAACATTTCAAACAGAACAAGGGGTGGCGAAAAAGCTCGTTTGTAGTGATTCGTAGTCATGTCAATACATCACACTACTTTTACACATGTATACATGATACACATATAAGTATCGTGATGGTTATTGTGATGTACTGGATCTTGATGTTCGGGGTTCGAAACCCTCACGCTGCCAGCAAAATTCATTGATAGGCGTTGGAGTCTATTTTCTGAGTAATTTCCATCATCTTAAATGAGCTTATTTCATGTGGACAGTAGATTACGATAGGTCCTCACAGTTTGACTGTTCAATAGCAAAACGAATATTGAATATGGATGGTT